CTTGAGACTTATAGGGAGGAGCCTACCTGGTCTGCGCCGCCGCCTTCTTCGGAAATTCTCAGCGACAAGTACTACATTGCTCAAATCCATGGCATGAACAAGCATTCACTGTCCACACTCTATGTGGATTTCACCCACCTGACATCACTTGGCAACCCGATTCTAGCAGACGCCATTGTCAACCAATTCTACCGATTTCATCCATTCCTCACCAAGGCGCTGCACAATCTTATTGCGAAATATGAGCCCGACTTCTATACCCACCATCGCAAAGTTGATAAAGTGAACTCAGATGCCGGCACGTCGATGATGGGGGGCAACTCAAGTGTTAGTATATCCGACAAACATGAGATGGGAGAGTATGTCCAAGAGAGGACACGCCACCAGCAGACAGATAAATTGTTCTCTCTCGCTTTTTATAATTTGCCCCTTGTCTCCCGTTTGCGCCAACTCCGAACCTCACAGATCGGAAAATTGCTCTCCATCTCTGGCACTGTCACACGGACGTCCGAGATTCGTCCGGAGCTGTCCCTGGGTACCTTTATTTGTGAGAACTGCAAGACGGTGTGCCCCGATGTTGAACAAACTTTCAAGTATACGGAGCCTTCGGAATGCCCGAACCAGTCTTGCGGAAACCGCTCTGGTTGGCGTCTAGACATTGGCAAGAGCACTTTTGTTGATTGGCAAAAAGTGAAACTACAGGAATCATCACATGAGATCCCTACTGGCAGTATGCCCCGTACTATGGATGTCATACTTCGCGGCGAGATGGTCGATCGTGCCAAGGCTGGTGAACGGTGTATCTTCACCGGCACTTTGATCGTTGTCCCCGACGTCAGTCAACTTGGACTGCCTGGTGTACGACCGGAGGCCGTCCGTGATGACTCTGCATTCCGCAGCGGCGATGTTGGTGGCGGAGGGCTCACTGGTCTGAAGGCTCTTGGTGCGAGGGATTTGACCTACCGTCTTGCCTTCCTCGCCTGCATGGTCACCCCAGACACGACTACACCCGGTCAGCAAACCAATCAGCAATTGAATGGGCAGTCTCATAATATTCTTGCTTCCCTCAACCAACTCACAGAGCCTGAAGATAATGAAGACAAGGCCCAGGAAGCGTTTCTTCACACCTTAACGCCTTACGAAGTTGAGGATCTAAAAGGACTCGTCCATTCGGATTATATCTATTCTCGGCTTGTGGACTCCATCGCTCCTATGATTTATGGCCACCGTCAGATCAAAAAAGGATTGCTTCTACAACTAATTGGCGGAGTCAGCAAATTTACAGCGCAGGAGAACATGCAGCTCCGTGGTGATATCAACGTATGCATTGTTGGTGATCCCTCGACAAGCAAAAGTCAATTCTTAAAGTAGGTGTTCAGGGTCGTATCCTTCGCAAACGGGGAACTCACTGTGTATCTAGATACATTTGCTCTTTACACCCTCGCGCGGTCTACACAAGTGGAAAGGCCTCGTCAGCTGCTGGTTTGACTGCTTCGGTTGTGAAGGATGCTGAGACCGGTGAATTCACTATTGAAGCCGGTGCTCTGATGCTCGCGGTAGGCGTTTCCCTCTCTCTTTTTCTCTTTCTCTAACACAGCTGACGACTTCTTGATACATAGAACGGCGGTGGCATTTGTGCTATTGACGAATTCGACAAAATGGACGTCAGCGACCAAGTTGCTATCCACGAAGCTATGGAACAACAGACGATTTCGATTGCTAAGGCCGGAATTCATACGACTCTCAACGCACGTGCATCTATCCTCGCTGCAGCTAATCCTATTGGTGGACGATACAACCCCAAGGCCACTCTGCGAGCCAATCTCAACTTCAGTGCTCCCATCATGAGTAGATTCGATTTGTTCTTCGTGATTCGGGATGAACCCAATGAAGCAGTCGATCGCAACTTGGCTGACCATATCGTCAATGTACACATGAACCGCGACGAAGCCGTCCAGCCAGAGCTGAGTACCGAGCAGTTACAGCGCTACATTCGATTCGCCCGGACATTCAGGCCGGTCTTCACTGACGAGGCCAAGGCCCTGTTAGTTGAGAAATACAAGGAGCTCCGTTCTAATGACTCCCAAGGCGGCAATGGCAGGTCTTCATACCGCATCACCGTGCGACAGCTGGAGTCTTTGGTCCGTCTTTCCGAAGCCGTTGCTAAGGCTAACTGCGTGGAGGAGATCGTACCGAGATTCGTGCAAGAAGCGTATGATCTTCTCCGGCAGAGCATTGTCACGGTTGAAAAGGATGATGTCGAAGTCGATGATGATGAACCTGTCAACGCCGCAGGACGTGATGAGGATCACGAAATGGGCGACGGCGAACGTGACCGAGAGGGCGACAGTCCTATGCGTGATGACGTAGAAGAACAGCCAGCACCATCGCGCACAAGGACTAAGATCACATTCGATAAGTACATGAAGATTTTGAACCTCGTTGTGCGCCGAGTCAATGAGGATGAGTCTACATCTGGCGAGGGGGTAGAAGAGGAGGATCTCATTGTCTGGTACTTGGAACAGATTGAATCGGAGCTGGACAACGAGGAAGATCTGCAAAGGGAGCGCAGTTTGGCCGTCAAGGTTTTGAAGAGAATGGTCAAGGTTTGTGCCTCTATACAGCAGCTCTACCTGGTTGATTTGCATGATTAACGGTTTATCTTAGGACAACATCCTCATGCCCATCCGAGGAGAAGGCCTGGTTGATGCAGCCGATGGTGACCAAGAGGTCTCCCACCGCACAGTTTACGTTCTACATCCCAACTGTGCGGTTGACGACATTATGATCCCGGATCCTAGTAGCAGGCGGAGATGATAATAAGCATATAAGACGGAGTAATACTGATCACGAGTTATGAGGTGTGCTTGTGCATTGTTCATTTGGGTTAGATGTGGATTTCTGTGGATATCTCGGATTAGATTAATGGGTTCGGCGTGTACGGTATGAGGGCACTTATTACAATCAGTGCAAACGAACAGCCGTGTTTTCACTATTCCAAGGGGTTCGCTGATTGAATGATACATTCAATGACTCTGCCATTACTTTGTATAAGCAGTAGTAATCATATTCAAGAACATATGGATTATACGATAGGTGCGACGATACAATCGGTAAGCTTGTATTCCGGTGTGTGAAACAACACGATCTCATCCATACAGAACCCTTGTAGGTGAAGCGGATGACTCTTGGTAAAGAGGTGGGTTCAATACTACCGAACGGTCCTCTATAGGTTACTCACTTCCTGCATACCCGAATGATATAGATTGATCTATAAATATTTCCTTGGATATATTGAAGTGCAAGGTTAGCCTGGCTGCCAACCCAGTCTTTTGTTGAGTAGGAGAAGTCTCCAAGCTCTCCAAGGGCCTACCCCACAGGTGATATCGCATGGAAAATACACATAAGATCATGTTCGATTTTTGTAATATCCAGGCCACCACATTGACTTACATCACAAGGCCGGCTATGTCTATTGAGAAGTGTTATATACCATGTTTTGTCGTCATTAATGTTCCATATACATCACTGCCCTCTTGGGTAACGTTTTAGTTCTCCCCCATCCTAATCACAAACAAAGATCATCTTATCCCACACTCTCCACTCATCCCCTGCCTTCGACAATAGGCACGTATTGGGCTTCAATTGCTGCATCCCCGATTGACCATCTCCGCACCCATAACCGGCAAAGCACAAAAACACGTTACAGCCAGGATTCAGCCAGTTCAAGACAGCTCCGCCCGATCCAGAGATGGTGAATACGTGGCGATTGGCACTCAGATCAAACTGAAGCACTCCGCCGTTGGAGTCACACTGGTAACCCGGAAACACCACCGCTTCTCCAATGGTCAGTGCGCTCACGGGGAGGGAGTTGCAAGCGAGGCCTGCAAGCGTTGCGATCTTGAGGAGAGATGGTAGCTTCATGTTGAATGCCGTATCTGTTCACGTTCCTGATTTTAGTTCCTATGAACTCATTGTCGATTTGGGGCTGACAACGTACTCAGATGTTCTTTAGATTTTTGGAGGGCAGCGAAGATGAATTAGGGCTAAAGTTGTGGGTGAGTGAATCCGAACCTTGAAAAGATTGCTGTGAGTACTGACTGAATTGGGAGTTCTAGTTAAATATATATTACGAGGAAAATTTGAATGGGAGCGAAGGATACTAGGGGCATCTTAATCATCCACCATGATTGATAGATTAATCCAAGCAGCCTACCAAGTACTACTAGTAGTAGGGAAGTTCGTCGGACGAGTTCCAGGAAGAGGTGGAGTTGTTGTTCACTCTACAGAATGGTAATAACCAATGAGATGTTGAGAGGACTGGCAGACTATACTGAAAGAGCTCTAGTGTAGTCGATTGGTTGGACAGGAAATCAATGCCAAGTCATTTAGCACTTATCCAAGCTTGTGTCAATCATTATGAATCCTTGGTCATCATTAGGTATGATATACACCATTCCTAATACATCAAGGGAGTCACTGCTTTCTGCATCGATTCGTCACCGACTGGACTCTCCAACATATCTCTCTAGCTCGCATACACGACCTTATGACCTGTTCCTTCTGATGGACGACACATCTCTTATCCAAGAAGAGGACATTAAAACAATATTGATTGAAAGAAGAATTGTATCCAGGAATTACTGCAGTGCGGGTATAACTAAAACCTGGGAAAGGTATTGCTTCTACGTAGCTAATGTGGTCCGTATACTATATGACGTTTAAAGGAACTATTACCACAGGTGCTATGATGATGATAGAACCAAAGGGTAAGCACTGGACCGAATGGTCTAAACTATTTTATATCATCACATACACAGCTTTGAGAGTGGTGATTTTCTGAACGCTAGTAGCATGTATTGTATATTGAAGCCGGGAATGATTCAAGAACAACAAATTCATGCAATAAGATGAACTGCATAATTATTCCATACTGAATACTCTACTATCGTGCCCGCTCCTTTGCACCTGGTCCACATCTATGCTGCCAACAATCAAAATCAAGCATAAGTCTCCTCCCTGACTATTGTCGTTCCTTCCGCAGTAAAATCCAGCCAGACCTGTCTGTCTACCGTCTGGGTGCTTCCATCTGCAAGAGTGAAATTGACATGTCCCTCATTTTCGATCATCAGATCCCGTTTCACCGCATGTGAGCAACTTTTGCTTGTATCAGCCCAGAACCAACCACCAGCATAGATGTTGCCGTAGGTCCAACTTCCGCCGTTATAGCTCGTAGATGCATAATCATACCACATGCATTGGTTGATGATTTGCTCAGTGATATCCTATTTGCCCTATTGTAAGCCCACATCCAGCGTGATCATTATCCACGATCGAGAAGAGTCACATACCCAGCATTGTTGCTCGGATTGCATCCCAGAGATTGTCCAGGATCCCCAATAGGCACTGATGACGCCGCCACCCGCATCACACCAGCCCCCATCTGGTCCGGCGGTAATAGATTGTGACCACGCATTGGGGCATAGCCAAGCCCGAATTGACCACATCATTTGCACTGCAGCATCACTAAACCATTGCTGATTTGGCGCGGTGCAGTCCGCGGCATTTGCCGTTAGCACGAGGGTGAGGACAGAAAGGTATCTTGTCAACTTCATGATGGGAGGAATGTTTCGTGGCGAGGTTACGAGGTGAACTCTCAAGGTTGTTGCTCTACCGGATCGTAAGCTGTCCCTGGAGGCAGCAGCACATGTCTTCTTTTATACTATGTTCATATAGATCTATTCTAGCCGCAACCACCATAGCGGAGAATATAGCGGGGTGGGTGATATCCGTCAGCATTGGCTAATATACACCGGGGGCTTACTTCATGATTTATACTATAATGCCTTCCAATTAGAAGGCTGCACAAGCTGAAATTCGGTCCCGCCGGAGTTAGCTCTTTACGTATAACTTCACTGGGACTGTAGACAAGGCCTCGACCGAGGTCGATTGAACTAACTTGAAGGGCCCAGTTCTTTCAGGACCAAAATTTGACTACGAGGCGGGGGCACAGATTATTATCTATTTCTGCAGAGCCTATGCCAATTTCCTAAAAGAGCTTCGCTTATTGCGTTAGTGGCCTTTAGCTTCCTCTAGTCCTGAGCTGGTATAAAATTTTCTTGCTCCCCATTCCAGATTAGTTCTTGGCAGATGCCGCTAGTCCTTTACCTAATGCCACATAATCGTGGTTAGGCTGTCTAGCTTCTCGTGCTGCAATCATTCATTACTCGTACTGGTTCTCTTAAGACCCGAGCTTTCCAGAAGCGATATCCAATTATGCCACCAATACCATATAGCTGTGAACTTACAGTTGATGCATCGATTGGGAGTCCGGAATGAATGAATAAGTGTGTTAAGAAAAAAGAAACATGTACGCTTTTCACTCATCTGACGGCCACCATTGATTTTCACAGCCGTTTATCCACATGGAAATGCTTGTTCAGCTGTGTCCACAACACGTTTTGTGTCAAACTCGACATCCACAAAGATATCCTTATTATGTTAGCGCAGCCTAACATGCAGCATTTGCCATTACTATGCAAGTCATTTAAATAAGGAAGGGGAAAAGGGTCTAAAAGCCCATGAAATGGCGACAAAGTGCGTTCCAGACAAAGTTTTCTATACGCACTATTCGATTTGGTCGGCTTTATCTTCATGTGATTATCTGAAGTGTACTTCGGAGTACGACGAGTATCCATTGAGTATCAACCCCTAAAATGTGAGTCGAGCCTAACCAAGATGGATGAGTCAGGCATTGCACGTTCTCTGCTTCGATCATCGGCTCATCGCAAGTCGGTCTCGGCAGCCTCCACGATCACCTCTATTGATTTGACGACGGCCGCGCTGAAGGAAAGAAGCAGGGAAGAGGATTGATCGGTGGAATTAACCGGCTAATTGGTATAGAACCCTATTGGGGCAGAATTGGGCGCACTGGAGGCAATCCCGGGGTATCACTCCCCGTGTCTTGGTCATCACATGATTTAAAGATCATAGAACAAAGACTCTATCATACACTGCAGGGCGATTTATCACCTTTCCCAATGTTGTGGAGCACCGGGCCGACCCCTTTGAGCTGACCGATGCGAAGACCCCCGGGCAATATCGATCGATCAAGCTGCAGATACCTGATCGACCCACACTATTGTCTGTGTTCCACCCGTAACATGCCGCCGCAGCAGTAGCATCACTGGTGGGCACCAGCGGTGGACAAGGACCTTGCCACGACTGGTTTGCTTCAAGAACCGTGGATACGGTTATGCAGGGAACCGACTGCTAACCGATAGGAATGACAGAGGTGAGACTGCATCAACAGGGACTTTGGTTGGAATGATGTGACACGACTCAGTGCCATGCGTATCCCTAGTTTCCAGCAGCGTACATGTACATGTCCATGTACCACCAACATAAATCTACGTAGACCGAGTCTCTGACCTACTCATTGGAGTAAGTACTAAATGAAAGACGCCACCCGACCAAGGCAAGTGCTCTAGTAACATTGTTAACAACAAAGGTTCTGGATCAAGATGTGTAACGACAGCTCCGTTAAAATACTCCTATGTACCTTGTAGATGTCTCCAGGGCTATACTCCACCTAAATACTACTAGTGGACATTTATAACATACTCCACATTTTTCTCCTTTACCTTACTTACCTTACAAACGAGCCAATTAAGAAACCACGTACAGAATTACAAGAAAACAATTCATAATAAAATTATATACTTCAAGTGCTTTCTGTTAGATTATATTTCCTCAACTAAACGGGACACTGGACCCAACCCTCTCTCCCCAGATATATATATATATATATATATATGTCCACCAATGAAATAAGATTTCCTTCCAATAATCACTAAAATCCACACATGATAATATACTCCTCTCCACCAAACAAAACTAAGATATTTACATAATCCCCACGCAAATGACACACACGTGAGAGAACCAGAGAAACAACCCCGACATCCTCCTCCAGCGGTAGCCGCGGGGATAATTCGTACTCTATTTCCATTCATGGTGGGGGGAGTTCGGGATTTACTTATTTAGCCTTTTAGGTTGAGCGGGGGTTTAACAGTCAGGTAAAGTGCTCGTGCTGTTCCTCCTTTGATCTTGTTCAACCGTTCAACTCATTTGACTTGACCTGAGCTAGTTCAAGTTGGCTAACTTAGTGGGGAGGTTGATGTTATTACACGGTACATACTTCGAAGTAGAGTTTTGTGTTGAATCATGGCTGACCATACCGACATAAGTAGGTAGGGGTTGTTTGTGGAGGGTGGGTAGAGATACAAAACTTAATAGAATAGAGGGCTTGTTCTCTGCTCGGCCGAGGCTTCAGGCTCTTACTCGATTTGACACTCCTAATACAAAGTACGAAGTCTTGGGGGGGTGGTTGGGCTTTATTTCCTCCCTTCCCTCACTCATCCCTTTCTTTATGAATCATTTCCTAATGAAACAACAAACTCATTCCACAAACCATAAGGATGAATACCCAAAATTAAATTCAATAGAGAGACTGATCACCCTTTAAACCAACACAACAACACCCATGTGTCGTAAGAGCGTTAAATCGGTAAACATCACGACCATCCCTCCGCGACTGGTCCGTATCCGTCTGTATTTCCCTATTTTCCTTCCAGTACGGAGTAAAAACATCGACAGTACCTTAACAACTATGTATCCACTATCCCAGACACAGTTAGAACTGAACGTCTAGCCGTGTCCTCAGCGATCGCTACGAGCACGAGTACCAATCCCGTACGATTACGCATAGACGGCGTTATCCCTGTTTAGGAAGTTAGTACTTTTGGCCTGCATTAGTTAGTGACTTCCTATTTAGGTGAAGGATCAGCTGCGGGTATGAGTCGTTGAAGTTCTATTGGTCAGGGGAGTTCTTCGACAACGCTGTGTTGGTACGTATCTTTTTTGGTGTCGGGAAGTGGTTAGAGGTACCGAAGGTCGCTAACCCTATGTTTCTATTGTTGGTTCTTTATTGTTGGGGTATTTGGATTTGTTATATTATTTGTTATTTGTTATTTGGGGTATTTGGGATAAAGATGGTTGATAATGGGGGTATATTAGGATTTATTTCATTCATTCATTCTTGTTTTGTAGCGAGGGTTCCCTGTTTGGAGGAGCTAAGTTTATTTGGACTGCGGGCGAGGTGAGCACCAACTGAGAAGATGGAAAAGAAGAGTTTATGCAACTGGCAGAAATCGAACATGCCCGCGTCAATCATTCCGCAAAGAGGATGTCACTGTTTCAACTGTAAATGTGGCCGGAAGAGGTTCCTCCCGACGCTGGTCGACGAAAAGGGGTGGCAGCATAGCCTATCACAGGCACAAGCTTCATCCTGCGTATCAACCGTTATGGTACTCCGTATGTATGGTATGGTTTGATCGTGTATCTTCGGTAAAGATTGGATCGGCGGAGTCGAATCTTACCGAGTCTACTCTGTCAGGCCGTGTAAGACTCGAAGAGAAGATGATGCATGGATTTCACTTGGTTACGAGTCGGTATATACTTCTGATTTTTGACTATACACATCAGATCAACAATATACTTAGGTAGAAAGGAAAAACAATGGATGTCAAATGCCAATGCAAACGCCAACGCACTCTCCAGTCCGGTATGCAAAACATGCTCGTCATGAACGAATGTCAAATAGTAGTGTTTATCAATCGCTCAGGAGACCAAGGAGAGACCAAACAATAGAAGCAAAGATATAAAAATAAAAAAAATAAAAGTAGAGAGTGAATCTCAATCTCAATGAACGGAGGGGTCAGGTATCATCGCTAAAACAACTCGAATTAAACATGCTGCTCCAAGGCACAGACTCCAGCGGCGTACCCACGGAGAATAATATTCCGCCACCACGTATTGGATGGCCAACCAACACTGTATGTCGTTTCTACGCCCTCATCATCATTCGTCGGGCTCGGAAGGCAGACAGGTCGATCGATTCTTCGGATTCCGTCCCGTCGTCCACCTCGATCGCCTCAATATCCGATGACGGCCCCTTGTTGCTTGTGGGGTTAACCGTCAACCGTACCGATTCCACTTGCGGAGCCTCTTTCTCCTTCGCGGCACGTTCCTTTTCCTGTTCCTCCGTGAGACGTCGCACTTCACCCGTGGCCAGTTCGAGCAGCGCCTTGAATTTATCCAGCACCCCCTGGAGTTCTTCCGAGCAATCACCCACTCGGAGGAATTGGTAAGCCGCAGACTCACACAAACTGTGAGCCAACTCTAACTGTCGATCCGCCATATCAAACGGCGAGTTCTTGGGCATCACTCGAGCCTGCGGCGGAGGCCCACGATTCCGGTTGCTGCGGATCTGGGACAACAACTGGTCGTCAGACCCATCTCCGGAAGGAGGGAGCGGCGGGCTGTTCATCCGAGGGGGTTTGCTGAGAGCACTACTTCGCATCGCTCCCATCTGTGACATCTTGCCCCTCCGAATGTTGTTCCTGGCTGTCCCGATAATCCGCACCATGTCCTCCAGCGACTTCTGCGTCTCCCCGTCGTAATGGATCACTAGGTTGTATCGTGTGCTGACAAAGGGGTTCTCCTCGGAGGCTAAGGATGGGGCTTCGTCCGTGCCGCGCTTTCGAGGGTTAGGGTTAGGGGTCGTCGGGTCCTGGGAGGCGAGCAGGGGGGTCTCAGGGTCTTTCTGGGTCGGTGCATCGACGGGAGGCGGCGATTGTGTGACGGCATTTCGCAACTCATCGGTCCGGATGGAGCACACGGAGCTGTTCTTGCGACGGCGCGGTCGCCCCGGTGTGACGGCGAGCTTCTTGTACGCCTCGGCATATTCGGCATGTTTAGCGGCGGTGTGGGTGGCCAAATCAGAGATACGGTTAATCCATGAGGGTAAATTATCGGTGAGGTGGGAGAAGGCTCCCAGGGCGTCCATTGAACCGGCAGGCATGGGGCGGAATTATTCGCTCGGGTTTCGTCGGACGAGGGTATACCGTAGATTGATGATGTCGTCGAAGATACCTCAATTACGGAAGGATATGGTAGCTGGTCGAAAAGAAAAATCGTGCCGTCGTTCAAATCGTCAGTCGTCCTATCTGGGGTATAGGAAGTCGAGAATCCCGGCAGCCGTGGCGGCGTCTGTTACCCGCTTTGGGTCTGAGCTACAGTCCCATGGAATCTTGAAGCGTATCTATGAGCCAGGTGGACCAAGCGGGAGACCAAATAGTGACGGTAGATAGTAAATTGAATGAGGAAGGGTTCGAGAAAAAAAAAAAAAAGGTGGTAGAAATGCAAACGGAGTTGAGGGAGAGACTAGCTAAAGAACATAAAGAAAAGGAATCGAAGGGAAAGGAAAGAAATGCGACCGCGGGCGGGAAGAGAAGAGACTCAGAGGGAGCCAAGTGGAGACCCGCCGAGTCAGTCCAGTCGTCGTCTCAATAACTACGAAGTTGAAGGTACAGTACTTGCACACGCGGTATCGTAATACGTCCCCAATACCGTATCGGCCACCAACAGGTGACATCCCCGAAATAACTGAATGAAGCCCGAGCGTGGGCTCCACCGTCCATGCGAATTGCAGCAGCAAGCAATATCGATCCAGTCTGGAATGTTTAGATGGACCTATAATACCTGTCCTTGATGACTCGTCTTCGACATTTCTCCCACAATTTTTTTTTTTCCCTGCTAGTGATTTTGACTATGGACTGCAGGATAACCCTGGTTTGTTCGTGGGTCGGTTGGGCAGGACCCACAACTCGGTAAGTGATCGGGGATGGGGTCACGGGTTTGACCGTACCGTACCAAATCCAGCGAAAGGCACGACGGTCCCTCCCGGTTCGCTACCGTCCAATGATCGAGGCCCGACGAGCGGAAGCAGAGCTTCAGGCATCCCACACCTTTTCCTCCTTGGCACGTCGTTCAACCCATAGCATTATTATGATTATGATTATGATTATGATTCTGTAATATCGTTCAATTTCCTGGACAGTCTGACCTGCCACTGTCATCTTCACACCCTTGCAACGCTACAGGATCCGCGAAAGGAGCGGTGAAGAACCCCTCGTGGACATCTTGGTGATGCATCTAGACAGCTCTTAAGAAAAGACATGCAGATGGCGTCAGGATCTGGTCCTACCAGGGGGCTGACAAGAATCGTCGTACAATTCGATCTCCGGTTACCTCCGTGCGACAGGGTCCTACTTCGAGATGCTCTTCGAAAGGCCCCGGAAGATCGGAAGACTTTGTTTCGTTCTAGAAAACGGGTGATATGTCCCCCATGCAACAAAGAATAAACACCTCAGGGTAAAGAAGGCAGGTGACACCGGAGAATCACCAAACAATCACCAGTGGTTCAGGTACCAAGTCCAGGATATAGTATTATATCACCATGTGTTATGATCCACACCGAACGGGAAGCCCGTTAAACTAACCAGGGTTGCAATCAAGAAGGGGAATTAATTAAAATATGTAACTATAGGGTCAGCCAGAAGCCCGACGCAGCCAATTGAAGTATGCATTCGTCAACGGCTTCTTTACCCAAGTGAGCCCTGACACGTAACGGCTATTTTCACTGACGGCAACGAATGCCATGTTGGGCCTAAGTTCCCGACGCTTCCGTCTCCGCTTTGAAACGTTGCTTCCGCTGACGATCGTCGTGCAACCATTTAACATGGGGCAACGGAGGAAGGCGAGCAAGGCAGAGGAATAACCTTGTTATAATCGCGAAGGATTGTCAGCAGGAAGATAAAACGTTTGTCCTTGGCCTACGAGACACAAAACGTGCCATTGCCAAGAAGACTTCCGAAGTTGGCACTAATTTCAAGGAAGTGGATTGCACCCTTGCACCGCAAGCCATCCTACCTACCCGAACTCACCAGTTTCAGACGCACGTACTCCGTATGGCACGAGCCATTCCTGGTCGTCAGATTCTTAGTCCGTCGCTGCTAATCACTCTGGGAAAATGGACGAGAATCCAGTCTCGGCTCACGACACGAATACATCAGACAACGGTGGCCTTAGTGGCTCGGATTCATGTTGATCACTGACAACGCATCATCTTCTGTCTGTCACCTGCCATGGAAGCTATTGTCCATTCGGAAACACCAAGCCCTCGTTGCTGCATGCAAACGTAAACCCGGGATACGAATCATGAAGACTAGGCAAATCTATTCTTTTCTCAGTAACTGGACTCCGGGTGCACAGATACAAGAATCATAAGCGTTGCTGAAATTGTATGACGCAGCCGACGATTGAGTGAGTGAGTGGGTGTGTGTGTGCCAATAAAGTTGGACAATGCGGCGTCTGAAGAACACCCCTAGTCATTGGTTCTGTACCGCAGTTTCGATGTCCTCCATCTGCAATCATGTACTGGGGCCTTTTATTTTTTTTGCCACCGTCGTGAATGCAATGCCCTACATGCTTAGCACCATTGTTGTTGCATACTTAGCAGGCTCACCATGGACGAACATGATCTTACGTCCGTTCAACCGGTGGCTTGCCGCGGTTAAATCTTTTTCTGACGGTTTAGCATACGACTCTTTAGGTCGACTCACTGACCTGTTAGAGTACAACCAAAACTAGTCAACAGACACATACTGTAGAAGGATATATTATGCGGCACAGCTTGATCAGCGAGACATGTTGAAGTTGTAAAGTGATTTCATGCCTATGTACTGTATACACGTGGTTTTATATGATATTAGGACGAGTAGTATCTCAGCGTTGCGTATTCTGCTCGGTCAGCAACACGAATAGACATGTGACTAAGAGACTCTCGACCAAACATGCCAAATGCGCAGACCACCTACTGTTTACCACGGTGGCGCACAGGGTAACCCTGGACTACTACTAGTAGTACGGTCTGCAAATTGTGGCTGTGAATACGTGTCACTTTTGCCTGCATTCTGCAGGTTGGGGTCCAGCATCTGTCCTTTTCGTTCTTATCAGCTTTCGGAACTTTAATTCGCAACCAACGCAGAAAAGAATCTTCTACTGTTGATGTTGTTGCTTCACTACTTTTGACTCTTGATGTAGCTGCTGTGCAACAGCGCGTGAAAACAGGCCTATGGCTCTGGACCACCCGCCCAGCATATACCCTTCATGGTTGTGATGCTTTCGAATCCCCTGTCCGCAGGGTACAGACTTGTGATACTACAGTACGCGATTCTCCCCTGGTTACTGGTATATTATAGGACGCTAATAATCTGACAGGTAACTAACACTGCACGGCGCATTGTATACAGCTCGAGAATTCTATGCACGACCGCAGAGTGCATACTATTCCGCCAACCGGAAAGATGAGCTGAAATGTGGCTAGCTGGATGGAAGTGGATACCTTGGGAAAATCTACAGGCGTGCAATCCATCACCTTCGAGACTTGTTGTAAAGATGCCAGCAATCTCTCGTGCAGATCTGGCCCCAACCCCTCTGCTGAAGGCTGTCTTAGTGGTCCATACCAAATCGAGAGCTTCGGCCAGCTTCTAGCACAAAATATACCTGGAATTTTGGTGTCGACAGTCGTGATGTTGAGCATATAAGGACGCCTCTCGTCAGCATGTTTACTTCTCAAAACATCTTTCGATCCATTTCTGCAGACCTTGTGAGGCATGTTTGACCTCTGAACAAGGTAAGATACATACAGGAGACATTCAGAAAGTTCCCTTGCTGACCTAAAATACTAGTCATATTCCCCATACCACGAAGCACACTCCAGTACCACACAACCTGACACTAATCAAAATGGCTGAAGCAACCGGTAAGTGTACTTCACCTACCTTGGGTCCACAGCTTACATTATCCAGGCCAAACATACGACTCTGATCGTGGCCAATACTGGAGCGGCGAAATCGAGGCAGGCACTGCCAAGATCACCCGGTACCAAGACGGTAGACCCACGCGGTTTACCTTCAAGAAACCATTCCAGAAGGTACCGCATGTGCAACTCACGCCTGACTTTGGTGAGAACCCATCGCAAGGATTCAAGCAGACTTGGCTTTACTTCCTGAGCAGGGGAAAACCAGCGGTGGACAAGGAAGGCTTTAGTGTGGGGTGCTTTGCAGATGTTGGTTATGAGATTACATTCAGGTACACTGCTATTGAGATACGTGAGAGGTACTGAGGGCTGGTGTATCTAGAACGCTTTGGCTATGCCCTTGGTGTGATGGAATCATCGGTTGGGCTGGTTGCCAATAGCCAGGTTATGTGAATGTTTCATGCAGAAGATGCTGCTTTTGTTTGTCAATTGGTCGTGGTGTAGTCCTTATACATTCTGTCGGATTGTCTTCCCGTATGTAGATAGAAAGGCCTCCTAAAGTACTGCTGGGGGTGGTACTGTAGGTGAACTGCCGTCCAATACATTAATGTGTAAATGAGCTCTCTAGGGAGATGATAGAGACCTGTCCTGAACCGGTGGCTTTTTTGTCATTGTAGTAACCAAAGCTTGACGAATCAACATAAAGTAGCAAAAGATTACATGTGAGAATAGAGAGGTGAGGGCATATCTCGTTTACTTCTGGTACTGATAACATATCTATCATACAAATCTCTTCTTTACCCAGGTTCAATGCCATAGACTCACCCGCGAAGTATTTCTTGAATGTTGGAAAGAAAATATTCATGCAGCATGGTTGCACTGCATGTCAACCTTGGAGATGATTAGAAACGTGTCTATACCGCTGCATAGAACTGTTATAATGGCGAATTGTAGTATAGCAGGTAGATGACAAGATCATTTAAATTTAACGAGATATTAGTTTCTCAAGTACGATCGTCTGCTTCAAAGTGTATGCCTTGGAATTTGATAGCATGCTCTTTTTCTTGATAGATTACTACGCAGAATGCCTTAAGGGTTTGGTACGCGCTGTACTCAGGTGACTTGCAGTTACGAAGCTACTCATGGATTAGGTGTAGAGGAATATAAAATGTCGTTTGCGGTTACTGATGGAGCACGATCTTGTTTGCTGTGAAAAAGCCATATCTCTGACTTCAAAGTTTATTTGTATATAAGCCTATTTCATCTGAACAACCGTGGTCGATTATCCTGAGGAATACGAAGTATGGCGTCATTTGGGGATTGGCTTGTCGTATGATTGCGCTCCTCCGACCCAAGGATACGATTGGATGTCGAGAGGCATTTTCGAAGCTTAACACTTATTAGACTAGTGGTAGTGAAGTTGAGAAATGTCATGGCCAAGGCTTGTATAATGATTGCAACGGATTTTTTAATTGACCACATTACCTCGGATCCCCAATATCAAATACTTTCAATTATTGTCCGCACGAGAATCAAGCCTGACTTAGATTTCAGGACCCTTTGTATATGCCATCCCCGAAGCTCGAGGACATTAGTCAGTATGATGAGCACTCACTAATCCTATACGACTCTAAGCACCAGAATGCGCCTCGGCACCATCTACATCCTGGGACGTCTTTATGTCAAAAATTTGACAGCATCTACAAAGGAACCTTCGGTGCCTGCTGGTAGGGGTGCAAATCTTCCCATTTAATCTTCACACAGACCACTAACGCATATGCAACTAAGGATGTATAAGAAGTAGCGCCAACTGCGTTCTCGCCGGTCAATGTGAGCTCGGTCTATGTTACCGATGCTGCTGCTGCTATTGTGAAGTCCTCAACGGCGGAGAAGCTTGTGGCGTAGGCTGGTGGTGGGACGGAGATTGTTCCTGTATGGCATTTACGGCGGACAGTCATCTTTCGGAGAAGTCCCAGTTTTGTAGCTGCGATTGATGAATTAGCGATGTTCAAGGGAAATGATCTGTCTCAGTCATTCTGTTGACAAGCGCCGTGGCCTTCTTTACTTGGGCTACGCTGATGGGGACCCATCTCGAAACTGGATCGTGCTTGTATCACCTCAGAGGTAACTTAACTAGGATATCATGATATAACTTAGCGATCAATTGGCTAGCCAAGTTGGAAAGACAGGAATACTGTCGGATTCTATGGACTAAGCCGCTTGATGTCATCTCGGCAACCTTATCCGTTCAACCAGACAACGGATATTGAGAATGAAGTTTGCTTTGGTTCTACCACTGTTTCCTCAGCATCAGACCACCTCATCCACTACCTTCACTACTAAGATCTGCCCCCGAGCTACGTCTGTGACAATTACGTACTACGCCCACACAGAACCCTTCTCCATAGGAAGAAAAAGGACCTGCCCAATTAGTGGACTTGGCCGTGTTATAGCTAATTGCCACTCGTTTCCGGTGGCGTGGAAGGTAATCTGATAAGCTCCGGTTTCTGCAAAGAAGTTTATCTGCTGAGTATCGTTTTGCCCCCTTGTTCAAATCAATAGCCGACGGCAGTGTATATTGCTCATACGAGAAGCCTGATCGCGATGAAACTCACAGAACTATGAGATAAGAGCGATAAGAGGCTCAACGTGCTACTACATATTGGATTTTGCTTCGGGGCGTAAGGTTCGCTTCTAGCGGCGTACCTGTCTAGGAGGAGCTCGCAAAAATGCATTAAGTGGGTCTGGGAGGAGCTCCGCCCATGGAGATGGATCACATAGCGAGTAGCTTACTGGAATTGTGCTCCGTCATCTGCCTATGCTCTATATGCGGAGTAAATCCGTTATCTTAGGTGTGAGGTGTCAGTGATAGTAAGTTTTATGTAACGTGTTGATGAAGCCTTCATTTGAAGGCCGGTCTCACGACAGGGAGATTACAGCCAGTCGCAACCGAGTTTAGAGTAGACACCCTAGGGCTACACTATATCCATCTTTGCCGAGACAAGGCAAAAGTTTGCACATCCTATTGACGCGTTGCATTCAACATTCTTAACAGGATGATGCTAAACGAGATACGCGGCCGACTGGCACTAGTCACGGGGGCATCAGGAGGGTAACAATAACCCCAGTTCATGATAAGCTGATTTCCCGTGGGACAGAGATACTGACAAACCTTCACTGCTTTAGAATCGGAGCAGCATGTTCTCACCAGCTAGCTCAGCGTGGAGTTCATCTCGCATTGACCTACTCGAGCAACCTGATATCGATAAACGAACTTGTCACGGAACTGCAGTCTAGATACGCCGAGAATAAGCTACACATTTCTACCCACAAAGTTGATGTTGGATCCGCCGACCAAATCGAGAATCTGTTTCAGGAGATCGACACCCAGCATGGTCAAAGACCTGATATCTTGATCTCAAACGCCGGATATGGGAAACGAATAACAAACATATGGGACATCCCGCTTGAGGAATTCGATTACATGCTTAATGTTAACCTTCGCGCTTCCTTTGTTCTGGTCAAAGGCGTGGTAGAGCACATGATGGCGCAAAGATGGGGCCGCATCGTGTTCATGTCTTCGATCGCTGCTTATGGGGGAGGAATCAATGGATGTCGTGAGTTGATACCTTCATCCTTACTTGCATATGATGATTTTTAACTAGTGGAATGTTTTCGTCAGATTACGCAGCGTCCAAGGGCGGACTTATGGGCATGATGAAGAACCTTTCTACCCGTCTGGCCGAATACAACATCAGTGTCAATGATGTCGCGCCTGCTATGATAGGTGATACGGGCATGGTTCCCAATGCCTCAGCAATCCAAGATACGGTGGCAACTATTCCTTTAGGTAGGCTGGGTACGCCGGAGGAGACCGCGAATGTGGTCATGATGTTAGTTACTACCGGGTATATGACGGGCCAGAGTCTGGTATTGTCCGGAGGTTTGAAATAGAGACATGGCAGTTTACCTAGCACATATTAGAGCTACCATTCACAATAACCCTGTTTTTAGATTCTGCTATGTATTACAACTACGCGCAACATTTGTAGTGCGTTTGAAACACATTTTACCCTCTGCACAATGGTATTACTTATCGATATTGATGTTGAGCTGTCAGGTTGCAAGTGAATAAGCAATAATCTGACCCTTCGACTGACAGCCACTAAGAAATGCGATGGTATGTAAACTTCCATGTTAAGAAGCGAGGCTCTTCGGGTTAGATCTGTAAAAAGAACCGAAGTAAGTTATGATACTACCCAAAGAACAAACATAGACTCATTACCAACAGATGGCTGCCAGAACGTCACCCACAACTGAATCCAATAAGGAGCACAGCCAGTGAACTTAATGTGGCATACACAGGAGTAAAGGTACCGACAGTATATCAGTTGATCCTTTACCGGTGCAACAGCACTGGGTATGCAAGACCACTCGAAAATAAGCAACAAAGATAATTATCGTTCAAGGGTAGCTAGCGGTTTTACATATTTGGATTTCTCATTCCAATTATATCTATTCTACAGTATAATAAACCACTAGGTCAAAAGTATTGTAACACCCGTATTCCCGCCTCCAAGGCCCTGCTTTTAATCTACTATTTCATATCCCATGAAAATGACGCCACAATGCTTGTGAGCCGGACAAAGGGCAAAACACAACTACCTTCACTAACCTCTTTAGAAGCAAGTGCTAGCGATGACACGGAAGTCCTGGGCGGTAATGGAGATATCCGTCTCGTTGGCGCCAGGTGCCCGGTCCATCAACGCATGGAAAGGCAAAACCATCGGTGCACCGCTCACTGTATTAGGAGTAACGGTCACTTCCTGGGCCATATAGAGCATCTGAGTGGCTGCTGGCTGGTCACTCAGGGGAGGCATATTCCGTGATTGTTGGTGCAGCCAGGAGATATAATGCCTGGTCATGGGCGAGGGCGCATTTGGTGGCACAAGCTGCCACTTTTGAAACAGCACTGTGCTGCGTTCGTAACTGATCAGCACAACAATGACAAATCTAACTCTGCCGTTCGAGTTATTGAACCACCACTTTGCATTTTCCTGAAGCTTCCGGAGTGACTCTGACAACCCCGTCTCGAGGACTAATGTGGGCCAATCACGAATTTGCCCATGAGCGGGCTGGCGGTCTCCAGGGGTGAAGATCTGATCACCTTGCTTACCCTTACCTACAGTGGGCTGATACGTCGTCCTACCACCCCATGACATCTCAGTTCGAGGGATGCCCATTGCCCAGAGTGTCTCGTGCACCGCCATCACGAAGCTACTGGTAGAAAACTCACTTCCAGCGTCTGGCACTACCTTGATCAACCCCGTGGTGCCATCCCATTCAAATCGAGGGGTGATTCCATCCAGACAACGCTTATCATTATCGAGTATGTGTATGGCTTTCTTTGTGAGTCCCAACACCAAGATCCACTGATTCCCCCTGAAGCCGTTCGCGTTGAGAGTATCGAAAATCATCATGGCGTCCTGTGCCAAATGGGATATGCTCGTGAACTTTCGGGTTATACATAGTGTCTCTATTCCAGCCGTGAGCTGATACTCGCCGGACAGGATTGATTCGTTGCCGCCGGTTTGAGACATGATGATGCGCTTCGCCAGGTTGTCAGTGGACAATGTAGCCGTGGTTGACTCTTTGAAACAGGATGTGATATGCCTAGATACCTGACCACGAAGATGGCAGCAAGGAAAGGGTTGGAACTGAATTGACTCTGAGATCAAATGTGCAATCCAAAAAGACCATAACCTCACAGATATGGTGGGTGATTAGGTAACTGTGAAGTAAATGTGCATGACCGACGGAAAGATAGTATGTAATCTCAGATTCACTACTTTCGTGGAGGTAGTTCGATAATGAGTCTGTAAAACCAGCAGCTGCACTTGGTGGAGTGAATATCTTGAAATGTGGCCCGGGGTTTATTCAACAGAAATTGCATCATGATTACTCAGAACTATCTACATAAGATCTACATAAGGGTAGAAACCGCAGTCTACGACACTATCATGTCACACTCGCAGGCAGTCCGCTATACTGCCGAGTTTATGTTAACAACGGACCTGCTGAACTGCAGCGGAGCTGGCCTAGGGCCTAGACTAAACTACACAGGAGCGGAAGGCGAAGATGCTGGTTAAACGGTCACATGAGGACCTAGGGAGGGGTCCAACCTAAGCCCAGGTTTCTAAGTGCACAGCGCAAACATAATGAATAGGGGAAGTGTGATTTATGCATATAGATGGTGTAGATAGATTGATCTAGGTTTGGCAGGCATCTTGGTTGTACATATTTAGCTTTTTGATTTGACACTGCTGAGGCTTAGCTCACCGAGCCTTACATAGTTGTTTCAGACCGATATAATTAGGATAATGTCAGTGGGACAGTTTCGGTAGCACTGAATTTGCCATAACATTGGCAACGAGCCATGCTTTTATGACCAAGACAAGAAGTCGGCTTCAATAGCGGTGGGCTTCAGCTCGGAAGCAGTGCATTAAAACGACAACCCAAGACCCTTATAAACCTCGGTCTCGACATCTTGGGACAGTTGGAACAACTGCTCATCACCAAACGGTAATACCTGCGAGCAAATAAACCCTGCTACTCCTTTTTCACGGTCGCACCACCACCGAAGGTTCGCTATACCGGACCACTGTGCAGTCCCAATGGATCTCCCCGTGGAACCTCCACTAAGCAGGAAGGTAAGTCCCCAGCCCTGTCGATCTCCCTCCACAGTTGGGTGAAGACCGATACCAGATTGTACCATGTCTGCCTTCGCGTCTGAGAAATACTTTTCAGCGAGAGGGGGCAGGTTCTCGATTTGGTTCCGGAACATTTCGTCTACGGTCTCCTTTTTGAGCAGCTGCTTGCCGGTTGTCGGCGAAGTTCCGTTGTTCAACAGAACAGCGAGGATTTCTAAGTACATGTCAGTTTGTTGCGTATAGTGTCGACTCTGTACGGAGTCATACGGGAGTAGTCTTGTGCAGTAGAGAAACATCCGGCTCCACCACTGTTGAAGTAGGACTTAGTGTCACTCTCACTCTTCACTGTCAAGGCACGCCGGAGCAGATGGTCGCGGACAGAGATCTTGCCATCAGCCGCTCGCTGGTGCATGTACGCGAGGGTCGCCTTCATTTCTTCCGTGGGGATCATTGAAATATGCTTAAGGCCGAGTGGCTCGAAGATATGCTGATGGAAATAGTCATTCAACGACTGCCCTGTTACACGCTCAAGCACGACACCTGCCCAGTCAATGCCAACCTATCGCGCAGTTCCCCGGATGTTAACAGCCATTGCTTGAGTGCAGCGGGCCGGTGATTACTTACGCCATACTCCCAAGCTTCCCCGGGCTGATGTACCAGCGGCTGGTTGAAATCCTCAGCATATCCCGAGAATTCGTCGTATCCAACAGGTCGGCCGTAATCCCGCAGTTTCTCATTAAAAAATGTATAACCAAATCCAGCTATAATGTTTCAACATTAGCACCCTAGGTCGACTGCGTAAATTCATGGATACTGACAAGTATGAGTCAAGAGCATTCTCAAAGTAATCCCTTTGTTCTTCTCTACTAAGGCCCCATCTTCTTGGAGCACCTGGAGATTGTCGAATTCAGGGCAAATACGGTGGATTTGGTCCGCGTCATCCAAAGAAAGCCTTCCCTGTTCTACTAGCTGCATGCACGCAATGCCCGTGATCATCTTTGTGCACGATGCAATCCAAAACACCGAGTCCACAGACATGGGCTCGGAGCTTCCATGGCCCCGTTTCCCCGCAGCATGGCTGAATAGCTGCTTGCCATCCCGTCCCACTACAGCGACGGAAACCCCGGGGAGTCCCTTGTCAGGATCGCTGCACACGGATTGCATCCGGCGCTTGAGCGCCTCGATATTCGTGGGATTAACCTCGCTCATTGTCTGGAATAGTAGGCACGGTGTCGTGGAGGTATGATGAGGGGCTGACAGTCAATGTCCATCATTTATAATGAGGGGTTCGGTGGGGCTTCTCATCTTCTCCCCTCGGGCCCGTCGAAAATCGTCCGGAATCTCAGTAGGTCCCTCGCAGCTTGGAGCCTTAGGCATTGAGCTCTACCACACACGCTAAATTCCAAACCAATTTTTAGTGTAATTAGGCAGAGAATCACTTGTATCGTCAAGATTTTAGTAGCTTCAATATTTTATTCCGAGTAAAAATCGCCATTTCTACTAGTACTTGGATATTTTGAAATCAAAGAGTAATTGAATTCCAACATTACTAAGGAGCATTATAATTTTATATTTAATAAACTGGTTGTGGTTCTTATGTTTTCTATAATTTACCTGTCGCAGTTACGACATCATCATTATTTGTGTCCGATCTCCTTCCCGACTGCTTTCTGCGGAATTAAACCCTTCCAACTTTGCATGATGCTCTTTGCTCCATAGAGTGAAGATAAAATTGGCAGTGAAATCCCTAATCTTTAGAATTGCCATTGCTTAATCCAATTCTTCATGATAGCCCCGTCAATCGGCCCGAGATCACGCATTGCTTTACTAGCTGTTTGAGTCTTCACAGTCTCCATCATGCTGGTAAAAGTGCCATGGTTGCTAGCCAGTCCCCGATAGAAATCTATGATTTTGAGGGCCGGTTTGTCTTGCAAGTCGCCATCCGTGGGATTACTGAACGCCTCCAAGGCAGCCATCCAGTCATGCATGTCGTCGACAATGTCAGCGTTATAATAGCTTTGAATGGCCGGGATAAGTGATTCCCAGCGTGAAGTACGAGGGTTGACGAGGTGGAAAGCCGCCGTTCTGGTGATGTCCTCGGTGGTGCGTCGGGATTGGGTGATATCGATCACGATCTTGGCCATAATATCCTATGAGAAAGTGTTAGCAGACAAGCCCAATGGAACCCAAATTGAATCGGACGGGATGGGAACGTACTATAGGAATCCAGTCAACTGGCATTGTACCCAGGGTATTCGGAAGTTTTCCGAGTGTCTTGGATGTTGCAACCAGAGAAGGTAACCATTCCTGTCGATTCCACAGCCCCTTCTCCATCGTTGGACCAGCGATCTGTCCCACTCGATGAATACTGGTCGGTACTGCGGCAATAGACGACGCGATAGCACAGATGCGCTCGCCGACAAACTTAGATTCTCCATACCCTTGGCGCAAGGCAACATCAGAATCCTCTAGAGGGATTTCGGGAACGGATGGACCATGCTGACGGCCCCACGCACTCACGGTCGAAATCGAGGAGATGAAGTGGATATGTGCCGAATGGGCACTTCGTAAACTGAAGTCCACTAGGGTACGTATACCTTTGATATGGGGATCCTCAAATGCCTCAACTCTGTGGTTGAAATTGACTTTCCACGCATTGTGGATAATGAGATCGACGGACTCCGTGAGTTCAGTATATTTGTCAAGAGGCAAGCCAAGGTTTGGAGCTCCAAACTGGGCATGTATGAACTCGACCCGTTCATCGAAGTCATGCGGAATTTTCAGCGCTTTTTCGTTGAAGCTGTCAATTTGCCTTTGTCTTGCATCCTCGGCCCGATTGAGACAGTAGATCATGGGGATCTCCCGATCACCGAGCAGCTCATTCAGGATATAGTTGCCCAATGATCCAGTAGAGCCGGTCAGAATAACTGCATGTTTTTCTGACCTTCTGAAGCTCGTAATTTCTCTCTGCGGTAAATCATCAGTGTATTTATGGACTAACCCTGCAATTTTGCCGGATCTAGAAGCTTCCTCATCCTCTGCATTTTCCTCCTTGGTCTCGCCCTTTATCAGCTGGTAAACATACTGCGACAGTCGATCAAGAGTCGGATAAGCATATAGTTTCTGGCTTGTGATCGGCTCAGAGTGCTTGTCAGGAGAAAGGTGCCGGACAGCGGTTTGCAGGATTTTGCTCAATTGCAGGGTTTGTAGCGAATCAATGCCTAGTGAAAATATATCGCTCGTATCGCTAATTTGCTTGATAGAAAGTAGCTGTGACACCACTGTGCGGATATATTGTTTGATATCTTCAAGGTCTGTGCTCAGTGGTAAACCATCAGTGGACTCCTCATCTTCACTGGCGTATAGAGAGTTAATTTCATTTTCGTATTCTTCAGATATCTGTCGTCTCCGAACTGAGCCCTTGGGTGTTAGCGCGAATGGTTTATCTTGCTGAGCTAGGGCAACCTTTGTACGCAAGACACGTGCATGACCAGGAGCAATGCCATTCGCTCTCTCAACGGTAGGCCATATTCTTTCGATAAAATCCTCCTTGTCTTGATCCTCACTCCATTGCCCCCAGTTTGGCTGGACGAGTAATGAAGCCTGGAATCGCCCTTGACCAATAACGATGGCTTTTGAAACCAAGGAATGACCCTCCACTATATTCTCCATGTCGATAGGGTTAAACTTCTCACCGTTGCTGAGCACAATCACGTCGTCAAGTCGACCGTGATATTTCCACAACCCTGACCTTGTCGGATGTGGCGTGAACAGGTCTTTTGTTCGATATTCAGTAATATCAGGATAGGTGTGGAATATACTGAGGAACTCATGATGGTTGCCCTTCCGTATGACAGCCTCAAACACTCCATCATCAACCGGCTCCATGTGTATACCACCATAAGGGTTCCACTCAAAGTATTCCCAATCTTCACGATGCGTGCAAATCAAGGCTCCCATGAATCCAGCTTCACTGGAACCAATGATGGAGAGGAGAGCCACTCTCTCACTTAGCTTGTTGCCGACCTCTGGTGAAAGCGGTGCGCCACCGAAGAGTATTGCTTCGAATTTTTGTAACCCTGTTAAGCCTTCCTCAAAAGCGGACAACTCTTGTATGACCGATGGCGTGAGCAAAGCTGCTTCTGGACGGGCTGTCTCTAGAATTTTACTAAGGAGTGCCGGGGTCATTGGTCGTTCCGGGCTCATGACCACGGGTGTGCTGTGGAAAATGGCTCCCGAAAGAATGACAAGCCCCATTAAATGGAACATCGGAGCCATGGTGAACAGACGTTTTCCTTGTCCAACTGAGACGATTGATTTATTTTGTCTGCCCGGCGGAGTTGGCATCTTGGGGAAATTGTCGATGGCGCTGAAGAATCCGTTGGTCAGATATACCGGCTTAGGGAGACCTGAAGACGGAGAGTCAGTCTAGAGCAAACAGGGGTCATCGCAACTGTCAAGGCTTACCGGTAGTCCCCGAACTATGGATGATGATGCATGGTGTATTTTGCAAATCATGGAAATTCGCACTGAAAGCGTAAGGTTCGACCTGTTCACCAAATACTTCCCAGAGGCTGGGTATCTCCAACAATCGGACGTTTTGAACATTATCCCGTATTTCTTTGGCAATTTTGTGTCTCTCGGCACTATAGATAACCTTCGAACATTTGGTGGCACCCAGGACATGCGATGTGGCCACGATTGAATTCCTCGTAGAAGGCAACAACGCCTATATGTTGATTAGAAAAAGGCTTCGCATCGGTGCTAAGAAGCTAATATGAGTATTTACCGCATAGCCAGTCTTCATGCAGGCCAAATAGAAAGCCACATAGCGGATATCATTGGCTCCGATATAAGCCAGTGGCTCAAAGTCAGAGCCTTTTCCCATTGCCATCTCAATCCACCGGGCGGTGTAATCCACGGCGCCAGCGAGGTCCCTCGTGGATACATTTCGCCATCCTTGGGATAAATCAGAGGAACTGGGCTGCATGCAGAATAGCTGTTCCGGTCTACTCTCTGCCAACTCGTCGACAACGCAGCACATTAGTCGCTGATCGAAGTTTGTGGAACCCATGACTAGTTGCTTGGGACAGCTTTGGAATAGGAATCGATCTTCAGTGAAGCTAAGCAGGATATTGTGTAAGTGATGAGAGTGTTTGTGAGATGAACTTGTACGAGCGATGGTCATTCACCGGTTGGCCTGGGATTATATATACTCAGGTTCGGTCGATCCCTTCCGATATGATGGTGGAGGCATAATGGTCCTATGTGGGTAAAATTGTGTACACGCTTTCAGTGTTTCTGGGATAATACACACCACCCACTAGACGATTGCCATTCTGCCGAGTTTCAACGGATGGAGATCGGTGGATACTGTATTGGGATCATAGTAGAGAAACATATTCCGCATGGCACAACTTCTTATCCCAGAAGAATGCAACATAGTGAGCCTTGCTCGCGTCAGTCCCTTCACCGCAACAAGGAGAAGACCCACTGCACCCACGGGCATACAGCCATCTTTCCAGAACATGAGTCTGCCATAGAACCGTATACAAGCATAATGTATTGAGTGCGTTCGTTACACGGGGTAATTCCGGTGGGGTTGTAAAACACTTTGGAATAGATAAGGTGGCCAGGGCACTAGAGTATATGCCGATTAGCAGTGACGAATCATTCGCCTTCCTCAGTGTAATAAGAGTACTAAGACTGAAACTAAGTGGAGATCGGCGACCGGGATTGACGGCCCTTCCGCTTGCCGCACGCGTTATGCTTTCCGATACTCCTTGTGTAAGATGAGTCCACCAACATAGCCTGTTATGCTAAGTTATCTAGGGATAAACCATGACATTGGAAGAGACGGCAATGTAGGATTCCACAATTTAGGAAGGGTATATATATCTCTGTGCCTAAATATAGTGTAGTGTCGGACTCTTCTCAGCCTACAAACCATTCAAATCTATACACAATCGCCACTATGACTGTCACTCATAGCAAGACCATCCTCATCACCGGGGCCTCGGGTTTCATCGCAACTCACATATTGTGAAAGTCTTTCTTTAACAAGGGTATTAGTCCGCGGGACTGTTCGATCCGAGAAGGCCGCAGCAAACGTACGCAAGGGATTTTCGCAGTATAATGATTGGCTGTCATTCGCTATTGTTGAGGATATAGCACAACTCGGAGCTTTTAATGAAGCCGTGAAAGGGGCCGATGGTGTAAGATTATATATCTGTGCATTCTCATCAATGCCCGAAGGTTCCGAGATCCTAACAATGGTCTATCTAGATCGTCCATACCGCTTCTCCATTCCAGACTTCAGTGCAGGACAATAAGCGAGACCTCCTGTGGCCCGCTATTAACGGCACTACGTCTATTATTCAGGCAGTCCAAGAGAATGCACCGCAAGTTCGTCGTGTCGTGATCAAATCTTCAATGGCTGCCGTGATAGACGTCGCAAAGGGTCCGCAGCCCCAGCATACATATACCGAAGAAAATTGGAATCCTATGACTTTCAAACAGGCTGAAAGTGCTCTTGGTATAGTCGCATATGCTGCTTCCAAGGCAGTTGCGGAGAAAGACGCCTGGAGTTATATGGAAACGAACACCACTCACTTCAGTCTTACCACGATTTCACCCATGATCTATGGCCCCGTGGAGCACCATGTTCCTACTATAGAGAGATTGAATAGAAGTGCGGGTGATATCTACAGGTTGTTCAATGGTAGCAGCACTGAGATATCGTCGGCGATTCTGCTAGTCTTCGCGGATGCTCGTGATGTTGCTCAAGCCCACCTCTCTGCCTTTGAATCTGAGAAGGCGGCAGGAGAGCGTTTCATTGTTGGTTCTGGAGGTTACACCTATCGCGAGATCTGTGATATACTTCGGTCAATCGTCCCTGAGGTCAGGGATAAGGTCCCTATTGTTCAGCCCGGGAAAGTCGAACCGGGAATCATCAATGTCTCTAATAACAAAGCCAAGACCTTTCTGGACATTACTTTCCACACGCTGCAGGAGATCGTGAAGGACACTGTATATAGCTTGCTAGCTCTAGAGGAGGCACTCAAGGCATAATTAGCCGCATTAAATAAATTTATTCGGTGCTGTACTGAAACTTAACTATGCTAGCGCTACGATAATTCTATGTTTTTGCATAGTTGGGAGTGACTTTATATTTATTCTAGTAGGAATATATAATCGATAAAGGTGACATTGTGTGATAAAACGAAGTGACGTATATATGCCTCATTTCATTTAGGTCTGCACGGTTGTCAAATTAGAAAAAAAAGAAAAAAAGGAAGAAGAGCAAAAAAGAAGAAAAAAACGCAACAGCAGTCCAGACTTGAATTGCCTGTGCAGAAAGCGAGTCACTATTGGATGATCAGTATTTGATATGCCGAGACAAGCATTTTAGGGTTACCTTTTTATGCAGGGATTGTAATGATACGGTAAGATCACCCCGATGAGATCTCCGCCGGCCCCACAAAACCTCGAGAGCATAACTTCCTCTATGTCATGTGAATGGTGCATAGTAGACAGTTAGAGTTATGCCGTGGTGGCTACGGAGTAGCTTTTTCACTCTGGGCCTTCTTTTCCTCTAACCAGCCTACGCCGCCAAGCTTAGAGAGCCAATATTGGTATCGAACTTATTTTAAATTGAACAATGGACCCTTTGGTGCAGGGGGCCCGTTTAAGCGCTACCAGCGAAGAAACACCGGGCCAACGACAAGTAGTACGATACCCCTGCAAATGTGCCATAGACTCTAACCGAGAGACATAGGCCTGCGAGCTTTGTCGGAGGTGGAAAGTAAAATGCGAAACAGCATCCGGCCATGCTACATGTTCGGTTTGTCAACGCCGAGGTGTGGTTTGCGTTCGGACGGCTCGACCGCGTGTATCTCGGCGCCCGGTTATCAGGTGGGGAATCGGGGTCTTACTCCTTAGGAAGCCCCATGAGGTTCACTAACGTGTCGATACAGCAATAGGAATAAGCAGGGATCGCAATCTCCGGTTCCGCGACTAAACAATGCCTTCCATGCGCAACGGAAAGAGGGCACCCGAAGTCGAACTAAGGTGGAAGCAGGGCTGGTTAATGAATTTATCGCGTATAAGCAATGGACAAGGACGTTTCTTCATGACTGGCTTAACTTGCTCTGTGAGATCTCGCGATCAACTGCTTGCTCCCTACCACTAATAGGTCTCAGCCAGTAAGACGCCATTGTACGATTTGTCAGCTCAATGGGAGGAATGGTTACAGTCTGAGATGGGCTGTCAACTCGGACCCCTTCGAGACAATATCAATGACTCCCAATCATCAAAAGACATTCTTCCAAGCACTTGTTTAAGTAATGGTCGACTGCCGGTATTCACCGCACTACCTCCACAACAAGAGGCGGTTGAGGTCCTAAATACGTTCTTCACCTATACTACAGACGTATTTCCCCTATTCCACGCCGATACTTTCACAGAGCTTCTAAATAAAAGCTATGACCGAAGGCGGCCACGGGATCCATCGTGGTGGGCGGGCCTGAACATAGCATTGGCGATTGGCTATCGCTACCGTTCACTGCACCAACTTAGCCAGAGTGGTGCTAGAACCAAGTCAAACGTGTATTACAAGAATGCAATCGCCGCTGTGCCTGAGCTTCTATTACGCAAGCCTGACTTGATGGCTGTTCAAGCACTGATGGGCATCGTGAGTGCGATACGGTATCCTGACTTGACTTGATCTGGCGATTGCTAATGTTATCACGACAGGTCTTTCTTTCGTGCAATGGGTTTGAAACCCCCATGTATCAGAACCTATTATCTGTGGCAATTCGCTCATGTGCCCAGTTTGAAATCCACGGACCTTGCGCAACCCCACGATCCACAGGCAGAGAAAAAGAGCAACCAATCTTAACCTTATCTTTAGGTTACATGATGGAAGAGCTGTAGGTCCTACCCAGAGACCACATTGAACCACACTGACTGAGCTTTACGGATACCGTCCATGGCAAGGCCTGCCGCCTAGCAATGCCTCAGCTGATCTCGGCGCGGACAGCCCCCACCCAGACTGGGTATACGAGTCGATCGCCCAAAATGCCGGACCTTCTGACATGGATTTATTTACTTGGTTTCGTCGTCTTAGCGTTATCCGACACAAGATATATACGTCTCTCTACAGGACAAAGGACTCCCAGGCGTTCCCGCATGGACAGTCTTCAATCGTACAGGCCTTGCAACTAGAACTAACGAGTTTTCAACGGACATTACCTGTTGACCTTGGCCATGCTGTAGAATTTATCACCAGGCTACCAGGCCATCCCAAGTCTCCCTTTGTGTCCCTCCTATGTGCGTATCACAATACCGTTATTTTATTGCATCAGACACAGATCTTCTTCCGGGCTCCGAAGGTCTCAACTCCGTCCCGAGCTACAGAGCTCTCTCAGAAGGCATGTGTAGGCGCTGCCCGCCAGACGGCGTTTCTATTGAACGCCCTTCCTCCTTGGTGGTGGCCGTTTGGGATCCGGTATATCAAAATCCTCCATTCTCCCTGTCCATTGCATGACACGCAGAACTAACAAGGACCAGACTGGTAACCCTCTATATCTTCGCTGCATTCAACATCCTGTTCGCGAGTGTGCTCGACAGCCCTGCTAGTGATGCAGCTCAAAGCAATCTCGAGTTAATGGAAGCAATGATCTCCCGCCTTTCTACATGTGCCACCGGAAATGGCCTGTCAGAAAGCCCGAGTTTGGCCGAGTTTACCCTTTTTCTTCACACGTCGCGAGAGTGTCTTGGGATGGCCTATTCTATGGTTCACAAAGCGCAATCCTGAGAGCTGATCGACATACGCGGGTAATAAATGACATGATCTTTGTTTATGACGAGATAATATAGCGTATACGGCCAATCGGAGACGTTACCTTTGACTGGAAATATATCTGAGAAAGCTTGAAAATTACAGAATGAACTTAGTGGTTATCAAGGTTAGCATAAACTGGGACAGTGTCTAGGAATCAAGAAGATAGTATAACTAATCTTAATTTGATGTCGCCTTCCCAATTAATTGTCTATAGCGCTACCATTGGTAATAAAGATGATTGAGTGTTGGAAATGAGGTGTTCAAGGGACGACATTAGTGCCATATGATGTTTGAGTCAAGTGGGATTGACATTAGATATGTGCTGTGTGCAGTTGTGCTAGGGTAGTCATTCACTGCTTTGATAAGCACCTTCAGCTGGCAGCAACAGAGGACTGAGCCCTGGAAATCAAAAAGTCCTTCGCCTGGACCATCTTCACCATCGTACTCCATGGAGTCCAACCGAAGATCAGCCCCGTGGCCCCTGTCGAGCCAACCGGGACCATCATCAGGATCGTATTCCCCTGGTCATAAGTCTTGCGCTTCCTTCCTTGACCTAGAGTATCTGGTTTCATATTGTTCGCCACCACAGCAGCCTGCTCCCGTGCCTTGAACGATAACCGCATCGACTTATTGGTGATATCCCCCGCCACATAAATCGGCAAAGACGCCGCTCCAGCTCCACCGCGCCAGACGACCGGAAGCTCCTTATCGACAACAACCCATCTATTCTCATTCAGGAACCCCATCGGGCTGAATTCATTATTCGGCAACGCCCCAGTGGTGGAGATATACAAGTCTGCATCTAATTCGCCCCCGTCTTTACTCAGCGTAACCTTCCATATCCCGGAATCCGAGCTCTGCATTGCGCCAGTAACCTTTTGATTCGTCAAGACTCTCACGCCCTGAGCAGCGAGAAGCTTCTCTGCCGCCCTGCTCCTAGCTAGTTGCAACATGGGTAAGATGCGACTAGAGGCGGACACGAGCGTGATGCTCACTCCCCGTCCGGCCAACCGAGCAGCCTCGGCGAGTTCGCCAGCAAGTTCAACAACAATGGGACCCGCGACACCGATAACGATGCTCTGGGAAGTCTTAATGCAGGCTTGGGCAGCTTGGATCAAGGTTTCTATGTTGTCTGAGTTGGATTGCTTGAAGGGAATGTTGTCAGTGTTGCTTTAGCTTGTGGACGCGGTGGTACTGCCGGATGGGATGACCAGGCAGTCATATTAAATGATATGTGGCTCGGCAGTATCTATGGTGACAGTCCTGGTAGACACGTCTATCGCGGAGGCGCACCCTTTGATGAATTCGAAGGAGGTCTTAGGATAGGAGACAAACGCCTTTTCGATAGGAGGCAGGTATTGCTCGGGTCGGAACGCATCTTGTTTGGCGAGGATTCGCGGGGCAGCAATGGTGAAGTAAAACGTTGATGGATTGAGTAGCGTGACTTTGATCGATGGGACGTCCGTGAGAAGGGAATGGGCAATCGGGATACCTGCAAATGAGGCGCCAATGATAACGACGTGGGACATTATGTTGTGCGGTATAGGAGTGAAGGAAGAATGTTTGAAATTATGACAACAAAAGTATAGTATTCAGAACCACTAATTAAAAATTTAAGGAAAATACCAATGATACTAGGGTTAGAGCATGTGCATACCTTGGCCTGAGGCCGAGGCCAAAGTATATGCGACATTTCTTGGTATTGCTTAGAGAATCTAGGATTTGTCTGGTTTTAGCTAAGCCGTTTTACTCATGACCCCTTTTGCTTACGTATTCGCAATTCTTAGCAGCAAATTGACGCGCTCTCTCACAGTCTCGGGGGGATAAATAAGGGAGGCCCCCGAGAAGAACCAAAGCTTCGTGTGGAGTTCTAACCTGAACAGACTATAGGTGACAAAAGCTGAAAATTGCTTCTTTCAGTGGAGACCTTTCTTAGTATCAGATGCGACACCACGCATACTGATCCATGGAACCTTGCGATACATCAAATAACTCCCTCAGATTTTGATGTTCAAAATATCTAGCAGCACTCGTGTCGATTCTTGTTCCCTTCCTACTCCTCCTTTCCCTTCTTTTTGTTCTTTTATTTCCTTATTAAAGAGGACAGGCAGCGGCAGACGATGCTCGGATACGAAGAGTTTAATCAACTTTCATACGGACACCGTTTAGTGCCTTGTACAACGGTCATTGTCCACAGTGTATATATATGTAGCAAGTAGTACAGTATCAGCCAGAAAGATGGTCGCATCTATTCACAATAGCAACAAATGTAGTAAATCACAAAAACATACAACAGGAGGGATTTGGTGGTGGTCGTCCACCCAACTACTAACCTCCCAGTGTGTGGCTTCTGCGCAGTCAATGGGTTACTGTATGTCCTTATAGAATAAGTAGATGATAGTATCAAGTTGTCACACACTTAGTCTCGAGAGAGATAATAACATATAGAATAATCCTTGGGTGTCTAGCCGTCCGTGACCGGATATCGTCATCCTATGATATTCTGCCTTGCGTGTCCACCCTCGATAAGGTACGCTAGACAAGGGTCTGTAACACTTTCCCTACTAATCAACGCAGTGGCTAGAAAACTAAGACACTTTTGATTCACATGGTGTGTGTTCCACCGGTAGGTGGGCTGTCGGCGGGATAGACTCGCATACTGAAGTGTGAATAACGGGAAGGGGCGTAGACATATGCTGCGAGTGATCTGAGAAACTGCGTAATTGGCATTCCGGATAGATGTCAACCGATGTTCAGTGCAGTATGCCCTTGGAGGGACTACGGGCTCGGCGCCAAGCGTTGATATTTGAGCCTGACAGTGTATATTTGCATGACGCTCGAGCTTTATTTAGCCGGCTGTGCTAAAGATCCTTGACAGAAGGTTTTACAAATGTATTTACCTGAAGTACTTGCGCCGCGGATATGTATACCCTGTCCGATTTCGTCCCTACGAGACAGTTCAGCGCGAATATCGGCTTTCGGACTTCTCCCGAGGCAGAGTAGGATTTTGCGATTTTCGGGAGTCTGATTTGTGGGAAATTAAATTAAACTAATCCTGTAAAGAAATAACACTGTCATATAAGTCACTCCGTATGGATCGATCTGGAAGCATTTACAGTTCTACGGCAAAAGTTTCCGTGTATGGCGCTTTTACCGCCCGAATCATCAAACTGACCTAGTTTTCTAAAACGGCCACCATTCTTCCATTTTATTAGGAATTTACTAGTAAATTTAAATATGTATAGAAAAATAATGAATTTTGAAAGAAATCAACCTTTTCCCTGACTAGTATTTAGTATACCAGCCCTTTGCCTGAATAACTGCCTCAACACGCCTAGACATAGACTCTACCAACCTATTAAAAAAATCCTCAGATATCTCATTCCACGCGCGCTCTATTAAAGCGCTAAAACGCGCTTTTAAAGCTTCTTCGGTGCCTTCAAATATCTCTATCTCAGGATCAAGCTGATATATCATTTCTTTCAGCTTTGACCAGGCGTGTTCAATAGGGTTAAGATCAGGCGAGTAAGGCGGCCAATCGATAGTAGAAATCCCTATATCCTGGAACCAACGTTTAACCTTGTTGGCTGTATGTATAGGAGCGTTGTCATGCATGAATTCTAGACCAGGTTCCCATATAGAATAGAGATTATCTTCCAGAATCTTGAGATAGCTCTCTGCAGAGTAGCCACATCGTTGGGAGTCAGGATCACGCGCCATTATATTAATATCTGAGCAAGAACTACCCCAAAACGCTGCCCAGATCATAATAGATAGACCTTTAGACTTGCTATATGGGATAATATACTCTTTTTTCCACTTCTCTCCTAACCGATTGAGTCTAAAGCACCATTTCTGACGCTTTCTCTTTCCTAATTCAACCGAGCATTCGTCTGACCAGATAATATTGCGCCACTGCTCAACACTCCAGTTCCGGTGGGCTAACGCCCATTCTAAACGCTTCTTAGCATGCTCCTCTTTCAGTTTAGGCCTTTTTTGAGCGCGCCAGTGGCCATATCCTGAAGCCTTAAACAGTCTAAGAAAGGTAGAGTTGGAGACAGTTGTCCCACTTCGACGGCGTAGTTCATCGTAGGTAATAAAGGGATCGGACTGTATAATGGCTAGAATCCTGCGTTTATCGTGTTTATCAAGCACAGTAGGCCTGCCTGCTCGATTTACCGATTTCCCATTGTTTCGGAGCGATTTTTTTTCAATGGTATACTGAACGGTTGACGCAGGAATTTGAAGCGATTCTCCAATTTTAGCTTGAGAAATCCCTGTATAAGCTAAACCACATATAAAACCCCTAGTATAGGGACTTAATTCGGATTTCTTTATCCTATTCGGGTCTATTACCCCTAGAGGCGTTCTAGGAGCCATTTGTTGAAGAAATAAGAAATAGGTAGAAAAAACGCGTGGTCGCGGATGACGCGTTTTACACGGAAACTTTAGGTGGGGACTGTAAATAGGTTAGGTAATGAATTTACGGAACCCACCACCAACCATTTCGGGGTTTTGCAAAAACCAAGATCGAGTGAAAGTTGCATACCTCTCAGGGTCCCGCGGTCCCGAAACAGATTCAGCTAGTGTATTTTACCCGACGCTATGGAAATTTCAATGTCACCTTAACGGTTATCAGATCATCTGATAGGGTTAAGGTGATCATGCACATGGCAGTCAGAAGGGATAGAGGGGATACTACCGTGTAGTAGTATGTAAAATTGTGACGACAATGGATACTCTCGCGTAATACCTGGCAAGCCTGCAGAGACAGAATCTTCACCGGACGGGAAGCCAGGTCGGGTTAGGGGACTGGAACGGACCCCAGGCTAACAGTAACAGGGATCACTCAAAGAGACACCACGGTAGCTTCTCGTCGATTCCCCTTTGCTGCGGTCAATTGCACGCATCGAGACTGCAATTGTCTAGGATGCCGGCATCTGAGATTTTGAATAGCAATCAGCCAGAAGGCACCCCGGAAGAGAAAGGACGAGGGCGAGCAGTTGTATGAACCATCTACCATCTCGCCAGGCCGTCGCTGGCAATGACTGACGGAGCATAGATCGAACATGTCTCGAAGTCCGTTCCTAAGGGCAAGGATATCAAGACCTTGTTCACCTTCATCCGCCTGTTATTCTCGCTGAACTACACCGCACTTGATATGCTGCTCATGGTGGTGGGAACCTTTTTTGCCATTGCTGCAGGAGTTCCGGAGCCATTGCTTGGTATCGTGCTGGGTCAACTGATCAATGAGCTTAATACGGTCGCCTGTTCCGCAACGCAGTACAATCCCTCCTCCGTCCGCACCAAAGTCCTGTACCTGATCTACATTACGATCTTCAATTTCGTGAGCATCTACATATATGCGGCATGCTGGGCACTCGTCAGCGAGCGGCTGGCTCGTCGCTATCGCAAGGCATACTTCCGAAGCGTGGTCCGCCAGGAGGCAGCATTTCACGATAGTCTACCCTCAGGTCAGGTCATCTCCCGACTGGTCAGTGATATTGAGACAGTACAGTCCGGAACGTCCGAGAAAGTGGGTATCTATATGGCGACCCTGTCGTACTTCGTTACGGCGTATATCGTGGCGTTTATAAAAGTCCCAGTGATCGCGGGCATTCTTATTGCCATCGTACCATGTTTCTTTGCGATGGCTCTCGTTGGCGGCCACCTCACCTCCCGGTATGGGAGCCGCGTGGGCAAACACATCGACCTGGCTACCTCCATCGCATCGTCCAGTCTGTCCCATCTCAAGATTGTGCATGCCTTCAATGCGCACCAACGTTTAGAGGATCTCTTCTCCTCGCACCTGTCGAACTCCCAGAAGGACGCGCTGAAAAAGGCGGCGGTGCATGCGGCGCAGATGGGTACACTGTTCTTTGTGGTCTACTCATCTAATGCACTAGCCTACTGGAAAGGAGCACATTTGATAGCGGACTCAATCGACGGCCGCAATTCCGGTGTCTCCGTGGGCGCTGTATATACCGTGATATTTATTCTCATCGATGGTAAGCTATCTACCGACTCGACAGGTCGTTTTCCACTGCTTGATTACCAACTAACGTGAAACAGCGTCATTCATCCTGAGCCAGGTTTCCCCTTATATGCATGTCTTCAGTGCCGCAGCAAGTGCTTCTGAGCGCCTGTTAGAAGTGATCAATCGCCCCTCCAATATCGACGGCACCTCCGACATGGGGACAAAGTGTGCCGATCTTCGCGAAGAAGAGATCAAATTCAACGACGTGCACTTTACGTATCCGGCTCGATCAGAGAACCCCGTCTTGCAGGGTATTACTTTTTCAATTCCTCCTAGACAGCATACTGCTATTGTTGGTCCCTCCGGAGGAGGCAAATCCACTATTGTCGCCCTCTTGGAACGATTCTACGACCCGTCTACAGGAAGTATCTGTATTGGCACACAGGATATTCGGCACGTTAACGTAGCTAATCTCCGAGGGCAAATGGGCTTTGTCCAGCAAGAGTCGCAGCTCTTGGACCGGTCAATCCTCGAGAATATCGCATATGGCCTGGTCGGGTCAGTCGAGCATGAAGACTTGGCTGAGGTGATCCTGGATATGAGTCTCACCGGCGTCGTGACTGAGATTCAATCAGGATGCACAGAAGAGGAAGTTCTCAGGAACTGTGATCCCAGAATCTCTGAGATTTTCAGACGGGCGAAAGTGGCAGCGGACAAAGCCAATGCTCTTTCGTTCATCGAAACACTGCAATTCGGGATAGCAACTAGTGTGGGCACCGCGGGTGGCCAGCTCAGTGGTGGCCAACGGCAACGCATTGCCCTCGCCACTGCCCTTGTTCGTGAGCCCAAACTGCTCATCCTGGATGAGGCCACAGCGGCACTCGATTCAATGAGCGAACAGCTGATTCAGGCCGTCCTGCTGAAGGTATCTGGAACTACCACGATCGTCTCTATCGCGCACCGCTTAGCGGCCATTAAGGATGCCGACCAAGTTGTGGTCATAGAGAAAGGCCATGTGGCAGAATATGGCTCTCCCCAGCAACTACTGGATAGTGGTGGCATGTATGCAAAGATGATTGGTTTGCAGAGAATGGACAATGCGGAGGCAGATGGGGCGAAGGCGTTAGCCAGCCGTACTAACACCCTTACTGGGTCCGAAACCTTGGAGCCAACTATTGACGAGAAAGCTGTCCTGCAGGAGAAGCAGGAAGTCGACTTGACAACGGATCAGCCATCAGGTGAAGCCAAGAGGACGTCTAATACCGTGCCCACACCCGAAGAAGAGATTCCGACTCGATCAAAGCGTCTTACCGCGAGAATATACTTCTCATTCATTCGCCCCAATCTGCTACTTATCATCGTAGGGCTGGGTATGTCCGTAATTATCGGCGGGAGCTACAGTGCAAACGCAATTCTGTTTGGCAATACTGTCGGAGGACTTAGCCCATGCAAGGGCACACCTAACATCCGACACAGTGGGAACTTGTTTGGCCTTATGTTTTTCATTGTGGGGCTTATCGAGCTTTTTGCAAACATTATTGGTGGATGCGCGTATGGATGGGCTGCAGACCAGACATTATATCGTGTCCGCGTGGCCTCACTTCGATCACTCCTGAGCCAGAGCTTGACATGGCATAGTACTGGTGGGCGAAGTCCGGGAACACTTATTGCATATATTACAGGAGACGCGTCGGCTATTAGTGGCCTGACCGGAACTACTATTGGACTTCTCCTCGCGACCACTGTGAATCTCTTTGCGGGTATAATCATCTCGTTCATCGTGGCATGGAAAATATCCATCGTGCTGGTGCCCACAATACCAGTTCTCCTATTAGCTGGGGTCATGAAACTGCGAGTGCAGAGTCAATTTGCCGAACGGCACAAGAAGGCATTCTCCCGGGCCACGGAGATTACAATCGAAGCGCTTGGGAACTTGCGTTTCGTTGCCGGATTCTCGCTGGAGAAACAGCTCTACCGGGAGTTCCTATTCTCCATCCAGGGACCATACCAAAGGACCATGAAGGCCATTACCTGGGGAAACTTCTGGTTGGCAGCGGCATTTAGTGTTAGTAACCTTATCAGCGCCCTTGCGTACTGGTGGGGCTCTAAACAGATTGCCTCGGGACTATACTCCCAGTTGCAGTTCTTCATTGTGTTGCCGGCTTTACTGTTCAGCACTCAGTCATGCGGCCAGATGTTAGCCTTGGCCCCTGATCTGTCGAAGGCAGGGAAGGCGGCATCGCGGATCGTTGACCTCGTGAGTACACACTCCAACGAACGGGAATTCGGCGGTGGCGATATCCATCGGGCCCTGATGCCTGGACCAGGAAAGTCGGATGCGGACATCGAGGCGAATGAGCGTTCCGAATCTGCGTCCTGTGGAACTGGCCAAATGCCAGTGGGTGCAGAGCTCCGGGACGTGGAGTTCTCATACCCTACATCACCCGATACCCCCGTCCTCAAGGGCTTGACCGTTAGATTTGAACCAGGGCGATTCTACGCACTCGTTGGGCCGAGTGGCTCCGGTAAATCTACTATCTTTGCTATGTTAGAACGTTTCTACTATCCCTCTGCTGGATCGATTGTCATCAACGGCCAGGATGTGACCCGTGTCTTGTCGACCAGCTTTCGGGACGACATTGCTATTGTTCCTCAAGAGAATGTGCTTTTTGAGGGAACCGTGGCGTTCAATATTGCCCTGGGGGCGAGGCCGGGGCATACGCCAACACAGGCCGAGATTGAGGAGGCGTGTAAACTGGCTCACATTCACGAGGTGATCGCGGAGCTGCCTCAGGGGTACGAGACGATCTGTACAAATGCCGGGAAGCAGTTCTCCGGAGGGCAACGGCAGCGTCTCTCGATTGCCAGGGCCTTGATCCGCAAGCCCCGCCTCTTACTGCTCGATGAATCCACGAGTGCTCTGGATGGTGAGTCGGAAGGCAAAATTCAAGACGCCTTGTCCGGATTTATGGGCAAGACTACTGTTGTTGCCATTGCGCATCGTTTGCGGACTATCTATCGCGCGGACCAGATTTTCCTTATCCAGGGGGGTCGGTGTGTGGACCGTGGGACTCATACGGAGCTGATTGAGCGGAGTGAGATGTATCGCGAGAGTGTGCTGCATCAGTCGCTCGATGTCTGATGCCTAGAAGCTATTAGGTAGACTAATAACATAGAAGTTAGGAGATGTTATTCTGCATAGAAACATGGTTTATACGATCATAGGATACAATCACAGGTACTTATTATAGCTAGGTAGAATTAGAACTATACACGGTGGTGATGTATACAGACACCGCATCAAGGTTGAGAGACGATCAAATCAGGAAACAGGCGATCAATGATAGAAGGAGCGATTGTCTCGATCGCAGGAGATGTAAACTGTACGTACGCACACACACCGTAGCTCTGAAGAGGAAGACCTTTCCCAGAGCCTGCGCTTCCCACCTCCCATCCCACCCTAAAGCATCACACCCTTATTCTGCTTCTGGTCCACATTCAAATTCTTCCACACGGCAATACATGGGAAGCCCAGCGCAATAACAGCGGTAGTGGCTATGCAACTGTACTTCTGGCTGTCACCCCACGCATTGTTGATGGCAGTGCGCACTTCCGACCCCATGGGATATGTCATCTGAGTGAGATAGCCGCCGAGATAGATGTCAGCCCAGTCACCCTTAGCGTCTAGGGGTAATCCGTCCTGGAGTCTTTTGGGAAAGACGTTGGTGTAAACTGCAGACGCGATGGCGCTGCCCGCCGCGCCACCTAAACTGGCGAAAAGCCCTAGGATCGAAAGCATCATTGGGACGCCGTCGTGATCAGCGGCGCTCATTACTGCCATGTCTTGCCCAATAACTAATGTGCCTCCAGCAAATGCGATAAAGATCTGACACATGACAATATAGCCTATGTTGTCGTGCTCCCCGCGGAAATGGATCATTAATCCGGAGCCAAGTAGCATCAAAGGGAGGCCGAAGTAAAGACACGCATTTTTGAAATGTCTCGTTTGTCGGATATAGATCCCGAACAGCGGGGCCCAGAAGCAGGACCCCACATTGTATATCTGGTTCATATACCCTCCATTCGAGACGCTGAGGTTGTAGACTACCATGCAGAAATTGAGAAAGTAGAGATCCCAGGCCATATAGCCAAGATTAAGTAGCGCGGAAAGTATGCAGGCACCGAGAACCGTCCGCTGCTTGAGCAGGTCGTATCGGATGAATTGCTTGCGAGCGAAGAACCGCTCCCACGCAACAAAGACAAAGAAAAGGCAAAACCCAATGACTAGCATAGCGATAAATGTGGCCGATTTGTATTGTGCGCGTCCGTAGGTGGTAAGGCTGAAGGGGAGAAGGAGCAGGATAAATGTTGCCATTAACAAGACCGCACCAATTACTAGTATCAAATCAAGAAATAAATTAGCATGGAAGGACCTTCAGGTAACAGGAGAGCGTACTAACCGTCGAACTCATGAATGTAATGCTTAATCGATTGGATCCAGGTACGATCGTTGTGTGTTTTCTGATATAGGCCCATCTTTTGTGCCTTTCGTTCGTAGAACTTAAAAACGAGCGCGAGGGGCAGGAAGACAAAGGGAAAGATGATCGCAAATGCGCCGTACGCCCAGCGCCATGTTGTCATACTCAAGAAGGACTGGGCGGCCAATGGGCCCGTAAACGAGGTACAGATAAACGGTGTATTCGAGAATGCAAATGCAAATGCCCGGTTCCGCAGACCCGAGGTGTCGGCAAGGAAGACATCGAGAATCAGGTAGATTGCATTGTATCCAACCCAGTACATCACGTATCCCGCCGCGTAGCCACTCGGCCCGGTACAAGATGCGAGCACAATAATACCCAACAGGAAAAGACCGGTAAATACCAGCATCCCCTCCGCTCGGCCCCAGATATTCAGTATCTTTGCGATAGGGAGCTTCATCACACCACCGACAACTGTGGCTAGGATGGAGGCGGTTGAGATTTCAGGGGCAGTCTTAAAATTGGCGTACGCATTGACAAGCACATTGTTGCCAATTGCCGAATGGAATGCTAGCATGAAGAAGCACACCCAAATCCTAAAGTGCAACGGCGGTTATTAGCCCATTTGCTTCAGATATCGCCCGAAGGAAAGCTTGAGACGTCCATACCAGGCATATATTCCCCACAGAGCAGATTTGCTCCAAACTAGTGCTGCCGCTTCGGCCTTCTTGACACCAGCCGCTTCACTGTCAGTAAGGTCTGTCGTCCTTTCTTGCAACTCCTTCGCATCTGGGCTCGGTAGGCTAGGCTTCTCGGGATCTGCTGCAGGTGCGGTAGTCACCTGGTCCCGAGATGCATCCGGGGCAAGCTGGGTATGATTGAGCGAAGGCAGATTCATCATAATGGATTCCGGTGTTGACAGCCGAAAATCGAACTTTATGAGAAAGAAGGCAGCAATATGTTTACGCGAAACCCATAATCCAGCCGTACAGCAGCAATATGTATGCAAAAGGAAGACACAGGTATGATCCGGCTACGGTTGTGCCAGTGACTACTAGCTGTGCACTAGAGTTGAGCGCTACGACAATAGGGCGAGAAATTTTTTCATCGGCGTGGTCCGGGACTGCAACCACGCGACATCAAGATTTGACCGACCGACAAGACTAGCTAGTTGTGATGAAAGCAAGGAATTGAAAATTACCGGTACAGGAAGATATCCAATCTTAGGAACAGAGGGACGATGCTACGTTATGCTATCCAACACGTGAATTGATATCATCCACAATTCAAGCTGGAATAGAAGATTCTGGGCATATGAATGTGTCAACAACCCTGCCAATCCACACTACGACTCAGCCGTGTCTATATAAGCCCTCTTGGCGCACAGACGGTATAAGCGGACCGTGAACTCCATAGGAAATGCTTCGAAAGCTACGATTCTGGGTATCGTAGCCGCCAATGCCCGAAGATGGGTACGTACCAAAGCCTCAGCTAGCGCAATAATTCACGTATCGTATGATAGACGTGTGACCAGGCGAAATACACATGTAATACCGGGATCATAGCCAGAGCTTGGCGGGAAGTGGACATAACTGGGGACTAGCTAAATCAGGGCCCAGGGACCCTTGTTGCAGCCGGGACCGCCAATCAGTTTATCATATCAGATAGCAAGGAGTGGACCAACAACCCCTATCAATCTAATCTGATAACTCCCAACTAATGTGTCCCAAGCTCTACTAGGAATCATGCCCGCCACTAGTGCCGCAGCGATGTAACGCTGGATAAAAAACCTAGCGTTTCCTGTGGACATTAGCAGCTCTGTTGATGGAGAATCTTTCCACGTTAGCGTGGATCCGATAGCAAGACAATTTAGCGTACGTCTGGTATCAATCCGCTGATTGCTAACCCTGGTATCGGCCCTAATGAGTCTCTTCACTCCGTAAAGCTCTACATGAAACTGCCAGCGCCCACTTCAAAGGAAACTAAGCACCATAGGGAGACTTTTCTCTTTGCCGTTTGTACTAGAATGTCATCCAAGAGTAGCGTTTAGATCTACTAGGTATATGGTCATTTGGGGGTTCTCCAATGGGGCTGGTTGGAAACAGCGAACTACGTGGAATTTGTAGTGAGTTGCGCCATGACGGTTCGGTGAAATGGCGAACACAAGTCGAATCGGATGCTTCGCTCTATTGGACTTACTGGAGGCCACATTGGGAAGGATGTGATGACCAATTTCCTGAATTGACGGCGCTACCGGAAAATATTGCAAGTACTCGGTGCTGCCAAGATTTGATGTCTCGGACAAGATCCATTTTCCTGCTGCTTTACAGATACTATATACCGTGTAAGTTTCGACGTTTCCAGGGGTTTTGAAAATTACCACCAATACGCCAAGGCATCAGGGTCCGAATTCCAGCATCATTCGACTCCATGCTACGAACACACCCTCTACCAACGGAAAGCGGCAAATACTGTTCGTTCTTCATAGGGGCCTCTTGCTCCCGGTTGCTACTCTTACCAACGGCCGCAGGAACGAGGGCGTGACGCTAGGCAATGGGTGGGGATTACAGTTTCCGCGCCTAACTCGGAAGTAAGACTGCGTAGTGGTGAGTGATGGCGACGGACGGTCGAGTGATATACAGTTTCACAGAGGGGGACTTAGTTAGCTCTCATCTTTGATATCTTGTAACAGCAAGCGAGTACACAATCTTTGGCGATAGTTAGAATACCCCCCCTTTCACGAGTCTAAAATGTCACCAGAGGTAAAGGCACTACCCGATCTGCAACCAGCAGCGCAGTGGCGACAGATGCAACTCCCGGTCACTAGACGTCCAACGCCGCCGACAGATTGCGCCCATGGCCTGACTATTGATCGTAGTATGAAACGATTGGAAATCGGTCGTTTAAACTACCTGCACAATGAACGCGGCACAGAGTCCCTGATCCAGAATTACACTCGCGCGATCATGGCTGTGACTGGTCAGAATCACATTGCGTTTTGGATAACTGCAGACGACGAAGGATCGACTGCCAAACGTGGTGTAGTCATAGCAAAATGTGGAACAGACGATACCATGCCAGAGTGGGAAGCGTTCGAGGCCACCTTGGAGGATTGTACCGAGAGGTCAGAGACAGTGGAGTTTGGGCTCTGGCTCATGCGTGCGGGAGAAATTGACATTGATCTGGAGAGCTCTGTAAGTAGGAATTGTACGTCCCTCCACGTCAAGGCCCCTTGGCTAACAATTCGTCTACTTCTTACTAGGTCCGATTTGCGTTATACGTCAATCTTGAATCGTCGTGCGCAGAGTTCAAGTATCAAGCAGATCTGAAATGCGGAGCAGATATATCTAGCATTGGTCGGCAGATGGAGGTATACTTAGAATGTATTGAAGGAGAAGAGGATGGTACACAATTCTGGACCAGGGAACTACAAGACTTCGTCACTATCCCAGAAAGGCAATTTCCAACTCTCTCTTGTGAACGCGTGACAGTCACATCAACGACTCTTCCTATTCTGTCGCAAAGCCTTGCCATGGGGACAACTTGGGAAGAGCTCGAGTCTCTAGCACAACGACTCCAGCTGCAGTCAATGGCTTCGGTGGTTCGTGCAGCGTTTGCATATACCCTCGCCGAATACCTCGAGTCCGATAAGGTGCTAATAGGGGAGAGAGTTTCGGTGGACGTCGAGCCAACACAACCGGACACAGCTATACCTGTCCCAATCTTTGTTTCTCAGCCTACAGCTGAAGACTTGATACGCCAGATTGATAATTCTCTCACGAGGATAGCCAGAGTGCAGAATGTGTCCCCAGATTGTCTTCTGGAAATTCTTAATTGCCCTTCATCCCAGGTCCCGTACAATGCCTTCTTTACGTACCATCAGGAGGTGGGATCCGATGAGGGCGAAAGGGCTGAAGAAGATGGTACAAGATCGGAATTTTCAATAGTCTCTATTGGGTTAAGCCTTGAACATTCAAAGCAAGGAATGCCGTCTTGCACTCTTTCCGCTAGACAGGATTTGATGGATGCATCTCACCTGGAGCTGGTATTGCGCCATATAGACGCCTTGGTGACGGCCATACTTGCTCGGCCCACTGAATCACTTCAGGACCTGACCCAGGCATTTCCAGAAGACCTTCTTTCCTCACACTCACCACTGGTAAGTGAGAAGCTCCGACAGGCCCCTCACCTATCCCCTTCTCATTGGGTCGACCACTGGGCGGCGTCGAATCCCAGCTGGGTTGCCTTGGATGTCATAGAAGCAATTAGCGACGATGATGTACTATCCAAGAAATGGACGTACGGTGAGCTTTCTGAGACATCTAATTGGCTCTGCACATGGCTCGCCAACCAAGGCTGGTGCAATCGAGTCATCGCGGTTTGTCTAGGCCGCTCATTCATAGCGTACGCACTGGTACTTGCCATCTGGAAAAGCGGTAATTGCTACGTTCCCATCGCGGAAGATCTTCCTGAGACTCGCCAGATGTTTTTGTTAAGCGACAGTGGTGCTACTGCCCTATTTACCGAAAAGGATACTGCGACAAGCCTCATACCTCCAGACAACTGCCGGGTGATCGATATCAACGATCACCGATTCCTTGAAGAGCTGGACAACGCTGAAGCATTAACAATTGTCACTGCAAAACCAACTGATAACTGTTACCTTCTCTATACCTCTGGATCTACTGGGATGCCTAAAGGAGTCCTCGTCAGCCGGGGAAATCTATCCGCCTTTACTGAAGCCCAGTCGGAGTATATCTGCCGGGATGTGCCAGACACCCTGGAATTGAAGGGCAAGGGCAGCTATCTCGCGCACGCTAGTCGAGCCTTTGATGTGCACATCTGCGAGATGGTGCTAGGCTGGCGCCATGGGCTTCGCCTGGTCACCGCACCACGGACCATGATTCTGGATAATTTACTACAGGTTCTCAGACGATTTAGGATAACCCATGCCGGGTTCGTGCCCTCCCTCCTCGAACACACAGGGGTGAGCGCCGAGCAGTTACCTGACCTGCGATATCTGGGAGTTGGAGGGGAGAAGATCTCGGAAACGATCATTGAAAGGTTCGTCGGCAAACCATGTATTGCGCTGGTAAACGCATACGGCCCTACTGAAGTCACAATCGGGATGTCTAGCCACACGGTCACAGCAACATCTACAGTGCGCAATATTGGGACCGCCGTGGGCAACATCACGATTCACGTTTTTGAGCTGGAAACAACAAATTATGTCAAGAGAGGTCAGGCAGGAGAGCTCTGCGTGACAGGGGACTTAGTTGCGAATGGTTACCACTGCAGGCCCGATGCGCAAGGCTTTACCGAATATCGCGGCCAACGAATGTATCGTACTGGGGATATAGTACGTTTGATGGCGAATAACTGTATTGAGTACCTGGGCCGACGGGATAGTCAAGCCAAAGTCCGTGGCCAACGTCTGGAGCTCGAGGAGGTATCCATAGCCGTCCGTCGATGTGCGGATCGCCCAGTAAATGTTACTTCGATGGTGACCCCTTCCCCGATCACAAAACGTCCGCAGTTGGTGGCCTTCATAAGCCCTTCGAGTGATCGACCGGGCGATCTTAAAACGCAGCCAGCGTTTTTAAAGGCTGAATACCAGGCCTGGGTACCGGGAATTCTAGAGCGTTGCCGTGAAGAACTGCCAGTCTATATGGTTCCTAGTGTTTTGCTGCCCGTCAGCTTCATACCCATCCAGATCTCGGGTAAAGCTGACAATCGCCGTCTGGTGGCTCTTTATGAAAGGATCCCGGCATCGGACCTCCTCCTGCAAACCCGAATGTCCGCGGCCAGGGTGCCCGAGCCAGACTTACATGCTGGTTCTGCGTCATTGACGACAAATGAAGAGAAGATTCGTGACATCCTTTGCTCGGTAGTGTCAATAGA